TGTTTTTGACTGTTACACTATATAATTCTAATAGAAGGTGTGCTGGTAACTTCAAAGTGATTTTTAGTCAAGAATCTTTTTAATGTCATTTTTGTACAGACTATCTTTCGTTCATCATTTGAAATATGTGTTACAACTCTGTTTCATATTTAAGTAGACTGATTTTGCATTTCCTGACTTGGCTTTGTATGTATTCAAAATTTTAATAGTCTTGGCTTTTAGTGCAATCATTTTAGTATCTTAGATTTTATGATATCTAAATTTGATATGGTTAATTTGATATGGTGATAACTAAATTTGATATGGTGATAACTACATAGCCAACTTACTTGAGTCTTTACAGAAATTTGTTAATGTTCACGACCAAATTATGTAATCTTTTTCGATATTGTTGAGAATCGACCGAATCCCTTAGTTTTTAAATTTTTTTTCCACTGATGATGGTGTAACATAACCTCACTCAGTAGAAAAGCAAGGATTTTGTTATTTTATCTTCATTCCTTAGCCTTAATTAATTCAGTGTAATTATCCCTGCTAACTGTTGGATCAACATCTGTATATGCACTTCCAATCGGAAGATAAATTATACTTTCTCCAAAAAACAAATTGAATTTTCTGACTAACTGTATTTATTTGATTTCCATTTTCTGATAGACTTTCAAAGTTTTTTTCAGTTAAATCTTTCTCGATTTCAATATTACAAAATATTTGAAATTATTTTGGCAGTGCTTTTTCATCAAAACAGACGAAATATTTCACTCATAGTGCATTTAATCTCTGGTTAATCCTGGTTGTTTTGGGTTGATCTTGGATTGATGTTGGCTTTGTTTTGGTTTGTTTTAAGAAGGATGAGATTTCTGATTGACAAATTTTTTTGGGTAAGAAGCCTTTCACAAGTATTTTATGATTATCTTCGCTTTCGAAAATCAAATTAGTTTAGTAATATGAGTAACGTTCCAAATCATAGATTGTGTCTTTACGAATTAACAATTTTGTTTGCGTTTATCTCTTAACAGACCATCCAGACTGCTTTTTTCTATTATACCACTTCACTTGCTTCTAAGTTCTTCACAAATTTTGCAGCCGGAATTAAATGAGTATTATACAGTTAATAGAATTTCATTGACGATTAATAAAAACTATTCTTTCTTTAATTTTATCTTGTACGACAAGTATGTTTGATTCAATAAAAAGTTTTGTATAGGAAGTGCAATTACTATTTCGTCTGAATAATAATATCCAAGGTCTTGAGAATTTAAATTAAAAACAATCAAAACCATGAGTTAAAACTTGAGTTAGATTCAATTCATAATTAAGAGATGTTGAGTTAATAAGAAAATTCTGTGTTGCTTCATTAAATACAAAATAGTAAAGTACAATGATGTACGATATTATCATATTTAAAAAAATTTACAGTCACAATTTTTTTCACTTATTTATCAATTTTTTCGAGTTTATTTGCATCAGTCTTTATAAAAAAATTATTTTACCTTAATCAACTAGCTTCCGAAGAAAAAATCAATTTCTCAGCTTTACTGAAAACAAAGTTATGATCACTCATTGATGTTACATCCTTGAGACAGTTCAACAATAGTAGGTAATGCCTTATGAAATATGATATAGGATCTGAAGAAAAGAGTTTGCTTTTAAGTAGCTCTCTTTTGAATTTTTCAATCGAAACAAACTCACTTTCAAAATATTCGATTTCATGCAATTTTGGTAACGTGTTTCCTAAAATTGATTGTTAACAAAGTGCTATCTTGTGGTTTTAAGATTTTCTTCCACGGGATTTATTGGATAATTAATTTCTTGAGGTTTCTTTTTGAAGTGGTAATGCTCCATCATTTGTCTTTTTTCAATTTTTTGTTTGTGACTTCGAGCAGATGAAACAATTTTTAAACTTCATTCTCATCACCTGGCATCACATCGCCTGCGATCAAAACAAATTTATCGAAAATTTAAAAATTCTTTCAAATCAAAACTTTTTTTCAGATTATTGACTTTTCTTTCAGAGTGGACTTTTGACTCTTCTTTTCTGTTTATCGGAAAGCCAGTCTAATCAATTAGCGATTGTTGAAATTCACAGGTTTTGATATACTAGTGAAAGACAAAAAAAATTGATCAATTGCTTCTAATTTTTATTTCCAAAAAATTAGTTGCTTTTTCCAATTAGGAAGTTGTGAATTTTAGTTTGTTTGCTAAATCATGATGAAACTTTGAATAAATACTCATTTTGAATTTTTTCTCTCTTTTTCCTTGTTTTTGTTTTGACACTTATTATTCAAGGGCTTTCAAATTTTTGTAAGTATTTTTTTTTCATAAGAAATTTTTAAAACTTGTCTAAGCGGTACCCTATAGGAAAAACAGCAGCTCTTCTTTATTTAATTTTGATTATAAACCTTTTTGTGGGATTTTTTAAAGTAATTTTCTTTAAGAAATGCATCTCTAACTCCAAGAAAAGATTAATGATGAAGTATTTGAGATTTTTTAATTTCAAGCTAACAGTTAGAATGAAATGAAAACAAAAAGGATCTTATCAAAGGAAATGGATCTCAAGTCAACAAAATTCCTAGATGATTTAAATGCATAAAACAAGGAAAAATTTAAAGCACTACTTAGGCAGTACTCACATCAACAAACAAATTGTACTGAGTACTGTACAAGATTACTGCTTAATTAGTGCTTTAAATTTTTCCTTGTTTTATGCATTTAAATCATGTATAAATCATGTGAGTTGAGATCCATTTCCCTTGATAAGATCGTTTTTGTTTTCATTTCATTCTAACTGTTAGATTGAAAACAAAAAATCTCAAATACTTCTTCAATAATCTTTTCTTGGAGTTAGAGATGTATTTCTTAAAAAAAATTACTTTAAAAAATCCCACAAAAAGGTTTATAATCAAAATTAAATAAAGAAGAGGTGCTGTTTTTCCTATAGGGTACCGCTTAGACATGTTTTCAAACTCTGTCGAGCAGTGAAATTAAATGTTATTCAAAACTCAGTTAGTAATTGCCTTTCCAATGATAAAATAGCTGTATTATTCTAGATGTCATTCTTCATTTTAGCGAAAAGTACTACAGCTTGATTTTTTTTTGTAAAAATCAATTTAGTTATATAGTTCTAAATACTTTTTTAACTTTCCTTTTTTTGAAATTTCTTAAGAAAAAAGTTAAATTTTTATTTCAATTCATTGGTATAAAAAAATTCCTAAATTCTTGAACATTAAATTGTCATCCATTTAAAAAAAAATTTTTGTTGTAATAACTTGTTTTTTTGTAGAACTTTTGTTTGATTTTTGTGCTTGCGACTCAATTTGTTTTTTTTTTGTTCTAAAAGTACTATGCTGCAAAAGTACCATCTTTTTTTAACTTTTACTCCATCAAAAACTTGACAAATATGTTTTGTAACGTGTTTAAAGAAATCTCCTCACTAAAAATTGTATCATCTATGTTTACAGCCATTTCTATTTTTTAAGTTTTTTTGACACTTTTTTGTCTGTAGTTGAATTGATTTTTCTTTAGAGATCAAGTTAAAAAAAGCAAATGAAGACTACGTCAATGCTATATTGAAAATTTGTATGCATGGATGAGTGTAAGTACATTGCGATAGGGTACAGACTAGGATTAACTATATACACAGAAAGACAGCTGAAAAACAGAAGGAGCAGAGCAAATGTGATGAATATTATGAGCAAAGCGAAATGTAACGAATGACGCGTTTTAGCGTCTTTATTATACCGAACTTGCAGTATTTATCCATTTTCTTTTTAATCCCAATAACATTTTAACCAATACTTTCATTTATATAAATGGTTTCATGATTTTATTTGATGTATCAGTCGCTAAAAGAAGAATATAGAAGAAGATGATATCTCAAGTTGTTAAAAAGAACATACATCCCACACGTGAGATGATTGTTAATCAACTTGCAAGCGTTCTTGCGCTGTTCATGAAAAGATCAGTACGTAAAATTTGTTGTATGAACAAAACTAGTCAATATACAGCGGGCGTTCAATTGGCTCGAAAATAATTACATGCACGCTTGCAAGTGAGCTGTAGAGGTAGTTTGAACTTATGTTTTGAAACGAGAAAAAAGTTTCTTCGCAACCGTTTTTCCACGCACTCGGAAAACGTATTCATTATCCTCGGGCCTGTTGGCACTCTCATAGTGATTTTTTTCCTTTGTGCGCAAAAAAAAGTTGCGAAACGACTAAATAAAATTATTTTTCAGCTACCAAGAAAATACAATTTCTGAACGGAAGTTGATATCACTTTTATTCAATTTCTCTGTATCTACTTGAAATCTTATCTTATTTTTAAAATTATAATGCCTGAAATTAATCAAAAAAAATCTAGTTGAAGAGAAGCAGAAAACCTTGTGCTGAAGGCAGTAGCGGATTTGGGAAGCCCCCCCCCCCCCTCAGGTTTTCGAACCCCCGACTACCCAAATTGTCCCCCTTTTGGCACTATTTTTATTCAATTTTGGCTGTATGACCTTGAAATAATTGTAAAGGCGCCTACGGTGCCAGTGAAAACAATTTTTAAGGGAGGAGCACGCGCCGAAAAAACAATAGTTTGGTCAAAACTTACCAAAAAAGGCTTCAAAGCTTTTTTTTTGGCTTTTTTAAGTTTTGTTTTGCCTGCGGCGCACAATACTGGACAAAACTAGGTTTTAAAATAAAACTGAATTTTGTCGAGCCGCTGAGAAACGTGAGTAAATTAGATTTGTGCTTGCCAGACCTGGAAAAACACAATTGAACGCTAAATTAGGACTGTAAAACCCTAATTTAGCGTTCAAATTTGTCCTCGACTGACAATTATATGAAGGATCTTACCAACGTTCATAAAATAGTGTCACGAAAAATGGATGATAAAGTCAGAAAGGACTTAAAAAAGACAGTTTTAAAAAGATTGTTCTATCCTGATTTTTTTTTTGAAAAAGCTGCATAAACCCAGAGCAAGTTCCATTCTGCTACAATCCTCACACGCGCATGACTTACCTGCTGAATTACATTGCCTTGTTCTCAAACATGTCAGAAGACATTTTAGTTTCGACGATCGGTAGCTTGGTGGGTCAAATATGCTTGCTAAAACTGCAGTGCTCTCGGATAATTGATAACTACCTATACGATTAGTTATTGAATTGATTTCCCTTATTTTGAATCCCAAAAGTATTAAAAAAAGTGAAAACAAAATAATTTCAATGAGCTTCATTTACAATAAATGAAAGTGCTCCTCGTTTTACACAACATATAAGGAAGTCTGTAAAAATTGATGCAATTTCTTGTATGCGGTGAATTACAAAATTGAATTATCACAAATGCTATAATTTTAAGAAATATTTCATATATATATTTGATTTATGATAAAAAATTAAGTTAAAACCAATTCTTTGTTAGTTCTTTTGTTTGATTTTCTCCTGTTGTTTTGTTTTCTAAATTTGGTTATCAATATTTTAATGATAAATTGATTTCTTTTTCCGTATATTTTTTTAAAAGAAAATTAAAACTTGAAAATGTCAATTTGTAAGTGCGCTTTTTTGGAATTATTTTCAGTTTGGAATTGAATTATATAATTAAAAAGTTCAAAACCAATTCCCTCTCGGTTCTTATATTTGATTTTCATTTGTCAATTTTGCTTTTCAAACTTAATTATTAATTTTTTCAATTACAACTTCCATTTTGTACCAGTTTCAAGCTACAGGAAACGGGTTAAACAACACAAAAAAATTGATTTTTTTTAATTTGAAGTTTATAAAAATCATGAAGCAGTGCAAGTTGTAAAAGAAAACCGTCCAATACATTACCCCTAAAATCAAGGCTTTAATTAGAAATCTTTTTTTAAAATTGAGTGAATTATGTGAATAGCTCGAAAAATAATAAGGTTTTCAAGGATATCTTTAAAAAATAAATACATCTGTGTTCACAGTGTATCCTTATTTTCCAATTGAGGTATTATAGAAAAAATTATTAATATCAGAACTTGGAATTGCTAATCCTAACAAAAGGGAACGAAGAAAAAGAAATTGTGTAATAACAAACAAAATCATGAAAAAACAGAAATGAAAAAACAAATCTAGATTGTATAAATTGCGTTTCAAGGAAAATTTGGAAATTACTCGTTGACAACATGTTTGCTGGAAAACCATCTTTTTTCAGGTTCAGAAGAAAAACACGAAATGAAAGAGATTGTCTGCTCATTTTCAATTTTTATTAAATAAAATGACACAATTTGTAATTTCTTATACCAAATATAGCACAAAACACGTAATTTTTACAACAACTTTTTTTTCGCCACTTTTTTTGAATGACTCAGGTTTAAATTCTTAACAAAGCTTTAACTTGGTTGCAAAAACTTGCTTTGCAAACTATCGAAAGCTTACAGATTATGAGGCCTTTTTTTATTACTTAGTCGATAGATTTGCAAAGGATTTTCTGATCATCCTTTACTTTAAATTTATAATAATACAAATCTATTTTAACACCATAATGAAGATTGAATACACTAGCTCTTCTTACTTTTCATCCTAACATCACACATTTAACTATAAACTTTGAAACGTGGAAAAAATGAAAAAAAAACAGTTTTCCCTGGGTTCTTGACAATTTTGCTTATGCGAATTTGGATTCCGCCCACTGAAAATGGAAGATTTTTGTCTTTGAGTGTAAATTAAGTTTCTTATTTTTTTTACATGAAAATTAAATAATGCAAGTGATTATCCGAATGTGCTGTAATACAAGAACTTTTTAAGTTAAGATTTGAACGGCAGTGAAGTGATTTCTTAGCGTCGCCAAAAACTGATTTGAGAACTTTGCTTTTTAGCCTGAACTCTACTGAGTTGGTTTTTAAATTCACAGCGCGAGTCTTTTTCGGCATTAAAAAATTTAGTTTTTTCAGCAAAAAAAATAAATCTTTTTTGAGCAGTTTCTTTCAGTAAAAATGATCTGTTACAATTTTATTGATATGCAGCCAAGACGTTAGCCAATTGCGACACACTTGTGCAAAAATTCAATTTTTAAATCCCACATGTTTTCTTTTTTTTCTGGCTATATAGATGAAAACCGGGCATACATTTGACTTCCAGATGTAAATCTTACACGTTCCACAACCAGAAATTAAACGGGAATGGTTGGCCTCTTTCCAATAAAACCCCGATCATCATGTTTTACTTTCTGTTTTTGCAAAACTTTTTTTTTCGTTATTTTACGACTGATGGCGCAATAATGGGATTAAACGTAAAAAAGTGCAACTGATCACAATAAATAGTTTAATAACAATGCGAAAGTAACATATGGATGGAAAAGTGACATCGCATCACTTTCAATGGAAAAAAATATGCCTAGAAAAAAACTCAAATTTAAAAAATGTTGGAATTCATTTTTGAAAAATAAATCAGCAAAAAAATCAACTTGACTTCAACCGATTTTTAAAACTTACCAGCTATGCAGAATACACGCAAAAAAACTATTTGGAAAAGCACACTGATGAAAAAAAAACGAAATTTGTTTTTTTTTAGATAAGACAAGGCACAATTATCGACGAAAATTTCATATCATTTTGCATGAATCAAAACAAATAAAATTAGACAAACAATACATCTCACCTGGAAAAAAAACTTAAAACGTTTCTAACATAACAAACTATAAAATTTAAAAACAATAACAAAACAATTATTACTAACAAAATCTAATAATTACTCTTCCTGCTGGAAAAAAAATGCTCAGGAGAACCTAAATCAAGCAAAGATGTAGGAATAAGAAAGAGAGCTGAAAACAAACTTTTATAATTCTTGATACAAAGCAAATCTGTTCTGACGAAAACAAGTTTAAAAAAAGAAAATGGTAATCAAAACATCAATAAAAATGCAATTAAACTAATGTTGGTTTAAAAAATGAGTATCTTTGAACCATTTAAAATTATGGGCCCGGAAATCTAAAATCTATCAATATTATCAGGAAGTGAAACAAAATTATCTAGAAAGTTTTTTAATTGACAGCGAAAAACCCCAAAAAACATTTCAATACAGTTTTAACACATTGAAACTGCTATATAACAAGGTGATACAACAATTTTAAGCAACAAGTTAAAACGACAAGGATTATACCAGTTAATCAGGAAAAAGAGCAGACAGCACCTCAAGTTGACAGAGGAAAACAGCAAATGCCTCCAGCAGTTTTGAACATAATTACCAAAAACTTTAGATCGATTTAACTCTGATTAGATAGGATTTCAGGCTTGCTTTGTCTTCCTTTTTTAATTGAAATGGTTACCTTCAAACAAAGGATTCAAATTCAATAAAAACCTATAAAAGCAAATATCGATACAACTAAAAAAAACATATCAAAAAATGTGCAAAAACTGATGAGTTTTGGGTCAGCTCCAAGAAAAATGAAATAAGTAAAACCGATCAAACAACCAAAACAACAAAACTTCCAACCGATTGTTTTACTTGAACTGAGAAAAACAATGAAAAAAACTCAATTAATTGTCTTGAGTTCAAGTTTTTAAATTCAAAGGACTTAGTTTAAATAAGAGGACTTAGTTTAAACTCAAGAGGACTGATGAGCTTTTTATCACCACCAAAAAAATGCAATAAGTAAAACCGATCAAATAACCAAAAACAACAAAACTTCCAACCGATTCTCTTTTTTGAACTGAGAAAAACACTGAAAAAAACTCAATTAATTGTCTTGAGTTCAAGTTTTTAAATTCAAGAGGACTTAGTCGAAATTAAAGCCGACCTGTTACAGTGCCGAAATTTTACCGAAAAAAATTCTCAACAAGAACCCAGAGCCCATACCTAATATGCAACTCCCATACACGACACTAAACTTGGTGCTATTGAAACGATTACCATTTGGTTCATTATGTGAACAAAGTTTTTTACGGGAAAAAAAGTCTAGTACTCGAATGCAATACCCTTTCGTAGCAAGGGTAACAAGAGTCGAATGCTTGACTGAGCGAAAGCTAACTTGCAACAACTCGCGTTGTAAATTGTAGCACTTATGTAAAATATGATGCCACTCCCTGATGATGCTTTTGGATACTGTTTTTAATTGATTTGTCAATCAAACTTTTGGCCAATCAGTCGCGTTCATGTATACAATTTTTTGAAATGACTCTTCTACCAGTCCCTTTCTGCAATGTTTGATACCACAAACAACAAAATGCCAAAAAAAATTAACCTCTACGGAATTCAAGCCAGAAGACTCGAGTATCCAAAGTATTTGCATTTAAAACTGCGCTACTGACGCATACAGAACTGAAACATGCATTGGCTCTTGATACAGCTGAGAACAAGTGATGTATAAACGCCAAAACTATGCAGCATCAGTATTTTACTAAAACTAACACTATTTTATGTGAGATGTATCGGTGAAAATGAGGTCCCGTAAAATACCAAAATTCTTGCAAAGATGCTTTGGTTATAATTAGTATGAGTCGAATGATATAACATATTGAAGCCCTTCAAGTCGTGATCCGTGTGTCCCAAAATTTTCAAATTTGTGTAGTCAAGTGAGTAGGCATTAAAGTCATGAAAAAGGATTTTATCTGGGCCGTAGAAAATTTTTTTTAATGAGCAAGAAAAAATCAAAGCTTAATTAAGCGCTTCCCTGTTCGAAGATTTCTGAAAGAAAAAAAATGAAAACAAAAATAGGAAAATACTTTCAATAATATTTTTGATTCGTTAGTCATATTTTGCAGATAACTGTAGTCAATTACGACTAATTAAAGTTTAATGTTTTTTTCTTAGCACACTCTACAAAATCAAAATCGGAACAACATTGACAGAAAACAGTTTGTTTTGTATTAACGTGATCGGAATTTGTTATATTTTTAAATTCGTTTAGGTTAATCACTTGTTTGTGAGTTAAATGCCAAATTGCATACACATTTTGTATTTATTCAATCTCGTGAAACACAAGGTGAAAGGACTGTTTATGGTTTATGTGTGTTTGGGAATCAGTAGAATGTGCTCTTTGGAATGACAGATACTACCAAATATACCCGACATACAAAAGTTTTAAAAAAAGAATTGTGAGTTTAAGTCCGGGGTGGCTCATTCATAGAGTAACTTCAGATAAGGTACACCGTCTGTTCGTGACGCCTGTTCGATCTTATTTTCGGCCGGATAGATTCGTGCAACTTCTCAGTCTAATACCGATCTTAATCTTACTCTTATATCTCCTAGTCTCACTAGATCTGGTGTATACTGGTATTTGGGAGGTTAGATATTGAGAACTGTTATTGAGAAGGGCAACAATTAGCTAAGTTAAAC